AAGGATTATAGACCCAAGTGCGGGGAAAAAGAGGCAAAGGACAAAAGATAAAGAAGTGAAAAAGGTTGAAAAATTACGGGTCCATATTTGCTTAACAGAAGATCTATTTAACGTTTCTCACTACTACATCTTTTGTCCTTTCTCATCTTTCCCTCCTTTTCCCAAATTTGGGTCTATAATCCTTTGAGTCACAACTCCAGCTTTATTTAGTAATTCTTCCTCATTCACACATCTCCAAGTATTCAAGTATTTGAAAATATTTTCTTTTCAATCAAAAATAAAATATGAATAAATATTCACGGCTTTGTGAAACTTTTTTTTTGAATTTATGCCGTTGAAATAAATAAATAATAAAAATATTAAAACATTTGTCGATTTTGTTTACACGTTTATTGGGCCGCATTGGTCCTTGCCTTGGGCCGCATGCGGCCCGCGGGCCGCGGGTTGGACACCCCTGCTGTATACCAAATTTCACTTCTTTAGGTTAAGCGGTTTGCTCTGGGCGATGATGAATCAGTGAGTCATTCAGTCAGTCAGTCAGGACAAGCAATTTTATATATTTAAAGATTTATGAGTAAAAATAATTTCTAATTGGATCAAGTAACGTATTGGGCGCATTGCCTGATGAAGCGATCTTTATATAGCTGAAGGCCCACCAGTGGCCATTCGCAGTGCCGGCCCGAGGCAAGTTTTAGCCCCCTAGGACTTAGCGCCTGCTCCGTTCGCCTTATGGTAGGGCCGGCTCTGGCCATTCGGTCCCATTCCCTGAACATTGGGAATTCGGTCGTGGGTTCGCGCCTGACCAGGACGGGCTGGCCACGTGGAGTTTTCCGGGTTTTCTCCACGTCTGTAACGCCCGAATAGGGGCTATTTACCCTTAAAAAGACCTCCCGGAAGGCATTCCCCTAGGCAGATCGCCAAAGTGTTGCGTTGCCATACTTAACTAAACAAACATTGTACAGCTGAATAAACAAATCAATGGCATAGCCCGTTTCAAATGCGTTTTACAAGCTTGCTTATCCAGCTATATTAAAGCCGTTTTACTAAGCGACGCGCCAATTATATTAAAAGACGCTCTGTTTTTGGCTCTTTCCACCCTATGGCATTACGAACGCTTTTAAATCATACTCATCACGGATTAGGCCAGTAATGAAATAGCCCACTAGGAAATTTCCTCAGTGGTCGTATTGAATGTCACTGTCTTGGCCATCTGTTCAACAATTTACATATACGGGTCTATATTTGGTATATACTTCAGGGCCGAAATTTGTTGCCAAGTCGACCAGGTAGTGACAAACAGAAGGCGGAGCTCCACAAATCCGGGATGGATCGCCCATGAAAAATTCCTGAAACTATTCGACGGCCCTAATTCGATCCCAGATTCCCGAGTGGCAAGTTGACACTTTAACCTCTCGACCACTAGGCCGCCACAAAACGCCAGATACCGGGCAGTAAGATCTTGTAAATAGAATTAAGAATCGCTATTAATATATGCCTATCACGTGACTCAATTTAAAGTGTGTACAGTACATTCAAGATGACACCTAATAATCTCTCACTTGACAATAACTACACTTCTCGTGCCTTTATGCAAACATAGTAGTATTTTTTCAGGCCTACTTGTATTTTTTAAAACACTCTCCGTCGTGTGAGCACTAACAGGCCTGTCTTGCAAGTCCATTATGGGTTCGGCCAGGCACTTAATTAATGGGGCAGCCGGGTGGTGAGGGAGGGGCCGAAAAATTTCTGGGGATTTTTCGACCCATCCGGACTACATTCCGGTCTCTCTAGAGCAGTGGACTGCTACCCTAACAACTCAGCCATCCGGCGTCGGATACAGTATATACAGATATAATAGTGCAAACAAACAAAAAAAAAAAATACCTTTCCGCAATATAAAACAATTTAATGTCCAGTCAAGCTAGAGGTTAGAAGCAGACTAATAACTTATAATCTGAATTTTATTAAACTATGAAAATGAATTGCTCTATAAATTGTTTTTAAATATTTACAAGACATTGCAATGGTTTTAGATTGGATCGATGCAATTACGCAGCGCAATACGGGCAATCTGCCAAAAGGGAACTTCCTCCCGAGAGGACTTTCAATGGCTCCTATTTAGGTGTTACATCCGAAGAAAATCGGAAAACTCCACTCCACGTGGTCAATCCGTCGATCAGGCACGAACGCGCGACCGGTGTCCAGTGTTTGTAATGCAACGGATTGTAAGTCTCCAAATAGAAACGATGGAATCCGTATAAAACGTTTACAATGTGGACTCTTAAATTTATATTTGTTTAATTACTAAAGTGTTACTAATTACAATAGAACCCCGGTTATCCGAGGCAAACCGGTAAGTGAATATACTACGTATTAGCTGTATAATAAACGAGTTATTATGTAAGATTAAATTCAGGTTTAAAACAATGGTCGTGGCCGTCCGTTTTATACGAGTTTTCGGTTTATATCAGTAATTAGTTTTAATACAGTAAAACTTGTGTAAACCACAATCGCGCAGTACCGAATATAGTAAAACCTGTCCAAAGGGGAACCTTAATAAAACGGAAACTTGCCAAAAACGGGAAAAAATCTTCGGAACATAGTGATTTTGTGTTTAAAATAAAGTGTTCAAAACGGAACCACGCCAAACTGCGAGTCCAGTTTACACAGTTTCACTGTACATTTGGCAGGTTTCCGTTTTGAACAGGTTTTTTTTTTAATTTTTAACAGAAGACAGTGTTGCGAAGACTTTTTCTGTTTAGGCTGGCTTCCTTTTCATTCGGGCTCTGTTTTCGACAGGTTTTACCGTTTTACTTTATAAATGGCTCAAATTAAATAATTAAAACTGTTCTCTTCACATTATCCACAAAATTTCACATCTAAAATAAAATTGAATGTACAGTTATATTAAAGAAATACAAAAATAGAAAATTAAATGCTTAATTTTAAATTTATTTCTCAACAAATTTTATTACTATTATTTTTATTTTTCCATAAAAAGCTTCTTTTAAGAATTAACAATAGTTACACGGGAATAATTTTCTTAAAATAGATTTTTCTATCCATATTCAACAATTTTGTTTTAACTTTTGATTTTTCTCACTTGAATTTCATATTTATTATAATTAACCTATGATACTTAATAATTTATTCTAGTAGAAAATATGATTAGAATGATTTTTAATATTATAATTAAACCTTTACCAAAATTTGCAATTTTAAATGAGTACATATTGCAAATTTTTAATTTTTTATTTAATAAATTTGCTTTTATAACTTGAAAAAATACATTTTTTTTTTTTTTGAAGTTTAAATTTGGTAATTCTATATATCCATATCCAAAAATGTTTAAAAATATTTTTTCTAACATCAGAATGCATTGAAATTGGGATTTAATCAGATTAAATTCCCACAAAAATCTACTTTCCTTCATAAATAAATATATTATGACTAGAAATATATTATTGACATAGGGAGAAAATATCAAATAACATTTTGGAGGTTATCACAATATTGTATACCCAAAGAGTAAATTATGATAAATAATACTGAAATAATCTTCAACTGAATTTCCCAAACATTAAATCTTTTTCAAAGGACCCAAACATTGCTTACATTGAAACGTTTTCTATGATGTAATCCCATAATCTGGTTGACCAGCCAGGAAATTTTTGGGTACAGGCAATTTTTGGGCTCTTTTAAAAAAGATTTGGTATTATTTCTGAAAAAAAATTATTAAAATCTTATATAAGAATAAGATTTAAATTTGTTTTTATTCTAAATTAATGTAAGAACAGTTTAATTTCAAGTGAATATAGAAGAAATAATTAAATTTCTTAACAAAACTTTGTACTGTAGTAAGAGATAAGAACAATTAACATATATGAAACTACATCAGAAATAAAATGCATTTGATGCTACATAATTCTTAGTTTCTAAATGAAAAAATAAATTTCAATATATGGAGAGTGAGTTAATTGTTATAACAAAACTTGATAGCTTAGCATTAAGTAAATATAGATTTTAATACATTAAGTTGACCAAGTGGAACATGATAAGCAGTCCAGTGTATTTTGATGACAGATGAAAATGAAGATGAAATAGGAATATTTATCAACTTTAACATTACAACATTTTCAAAATATTAACAATTATTAACGTCTTATACATTTATTTATATTTGTGAACACTTCTACTTCTAATAAAATGAATTAGTGCTAAGCTATTAGGTTCTGTTTTAACATTCTCTTTTTATATGTATGCTTGTAACATTCCATAATTTATATTTTTTCTTTCAGGTATATTAGGATATATTAAATTAATAAAATCTATTCCATATGAAAAAATATTACATTAATTTAGAATAAATTTGACAATAACTTACTATTCTCTCTTACTAATAAGAGATTATATTAAAGTAAAATATAATATATATTCAAACATAATGTAAAGATTTTTCTTGAAATACATAGTTTACTAGAATTTTCAAACTATTCAATTTCCTAAATATTTTTGTTTTAAGAACTTGTCCTCATGAGACAAAGCACCAAAGATGAGCTCATTAACTCAATAGTATTCAGAATATTGTTTATAAATCCATGTAAACTCAGTATTCCAAGAATTAACAAGAAGTAATTTCAAATATAGTTTCTAAAGATTAAGCATTAAATCACATTATCAAGAGGTTGGACTTCAAAAACAGATGGAATCTATAACTGGCACTTTATTCCAGAAAATAAAATGAATTTTGGCATATCAACGTGTCCTCATTTCTTGATACATTAAACATTTCACATTTATAAACAGCATATTTATATATATATTATAAATTTTATGATTTAGATGTGTATATGTATATATTTAGAAATACTTTTTTTTTGATATTTTATAATAAATTTTTACAACTTAACAATATAATAGTTGAAATTAAAATAAATATTTTAAAGTAAAGTAAACATTATAAATCATAAATAAATTGTTGAAAAATATTGTATAACAATATAAAATTTTTATACCATGATTATAAAAATGGAATGACTATTATTATGATAAATTTTTTTTATTAAAATTATGTTGATGGATCAGTTAATTGAAGAGAAATCACAGTAAATTAATACTAAAAATTTTTAAAATGACAAACTACAAATATATATAGCAAAATTATAATAATTAAGGAACATAATCATAATAGGAAGCTTTATAAACACTATCTAAATACATCCAAAATTTCTAAGCACATAATAAATTATCATAAATGACTCGTTCAATGTTATGTACAGTACATGTTACAGAAGAATACTGATTAATTTAATTTAAGCTAATTAATTTTATATTTCATAATTTTTAATCATTTCTTTCATAATTTGAATGAACAATATCCTTAACTAATTCTTGAATAACTACAATATAACTTCCATGTTTTATACTGTATATATTGTATACTTTTGATGAACTTTCACAAAACTTTACTATAAATATTAAGGCTAGTTTTAGTTAAATACTGTAGTCTTGTCTGACTAAATAGATAAATGACCAGTAAATATTGTCACAGATGTAATATACTGAGGCCTATAATTACATCTAACAATAACGTCACAGAAAGCGTACGACTGCAGATTATTCACTTCTATTAATGAAGTTTTTACTTCAGAGTTATTACTCCATTTTCATAACAACTTTTCCGACTCGAATTTCAGAAAGACACTTCATGGCATCCGTTACTGAATCAAAAGGAACGGTATGGTGTATGTTAGGGCTGTCAAAATAAAATTGATTTTAGAAATAATAGAAAATTTATAATAATATCTTCATAAAATTTATTCTTAAAAAAAAAAATTGAAATTTTATATCATAAAAACAAATGTTAGACTGTATTTTCACATACAAGCTATATAAAAAAATTTCATCTGTTCTAGCTATAAATAACCAAGGATTTCTCCTACACCGGGTCATATAAAACAAAATATGTGTCGTCCTTAACCTATATCCGGCGTGAAAACTCCAAACAAAGATTGGCAAATGCTTTCGATGCTCCTCCTGGGCTCTTCTTCAGGCCAAATTTATTGTACTGGATTCTTAAATCGAATGTTTTTAAATAAGAACGTGCTCTGCTACTAGAAGTTCAAATAAGGAAGGTAATCATGTGCCTTTCCAAATTATAATTTCTTTATAATTTATATTCGTGAAGATAGGTTGTGCGCATCTTATAATAATCCTGTGTATTGTATAATACATTACGATTCATCATCCAATAAATACTGCCACACTGTTGAGAGATTCATTTCTTCTTTAAGATTGATGCAGGTTAATTTGCAATCTGCTTTTTAAATCTCCATCGCTTCCAAAGTTCTTAGATGTTCCTGATGACGAGTGGTGTGGATGACCCGTGCCTCATTAAAAATTGGGGTTATGTCCGGGTTTGTTGCATATGTAGACAATGCTGTCGTATATTTGTTGTGGGTGATATCCGCTTTATGTTCCTTTATCCTAGTGGCTAATGGACGTTTAGTGGATCCTACATAAATTAGTTGCCTCTGCCATCTATTAAGGGAATGGTGTATATTCCCGGTAGTCTGTTCGAGTTATGGGCGTCTGTTCCGTTTCTTAATAAATTATATATGGAAGGGTTTCTTCTGTATGTAATTCTAATTCCTTTTTTCTTTGCAATTGAATTATATATCGCTACCATCTGTGGGTTGTATGTTACGGGACCCTTTCCATATGTTCTTTATCAACTGTTCTTGATGCCTTTTCTTCATCAGTTTTACTGTTTATGTGAAGGCGTTGATTACATAATTTGTTTATTATGTTGCCATAACTACGGTCTTTAGCAACTTCTCTAATATACGATAATTCTTGTTGTAGAGCGTAGGTTGTGGAAGAGTGGGTATAGGCACTTTCTACCAAAGACTTGAATGCCACTATTTTGTAAGAATATGCATCACAGGAATTGATGGGTATGTATGATGGTATAGTTATGGGTTTTCTATAAACTTTTGTTTGTATTGCTCTTTCTTTAATTTCAATTTCTATATCCAAGAAGTGGATTTTTTCTTCACTATGTTGCTCCAATTCCAAATAAAAGCCATAAGGGTTGTTGTTCATGGTTGTCTTAAATTGTCTTAGATCTGGAGATGTTTTCCAGAGAATTATAATGTCATCTATATACCTCCCATACATGATTATGTTTGGGAGAAAGGGTGGTAGGGTTTTGGTTTCTAACGCCCTAATTACCATTTCGCACAAGTCCCCAGATAACGGACTTCCCATGGGTACTCCTCTTTCTTGTGCATATGTGTTTCCTTTGAACTGGAATACCGAACTGTAACAGGCTAAATGGGCTAATTCCAGTATATCTTGGTGCAGATTAGTATCATTTACTTTTTTTATGAGGAAATTTCTCAGTGCACAAAAACAAGGTTGTATTTTTATCAATGGGTATAATGATCTAAAATCCCATACTGTGGCGTATCCTGGCTTGTTTACGGTTTTGAGTTTTAATACCAATTCTTTTGGACTTGAGATATTGAATTGGTATTCTACTAGATGTGCACACAGCATATTATGTACAAATTTTTCAAGTTTGATGGTAGGTGCTCTTCCTTTGTCTACTATAGGTCTTAGCTGTTGTCCTATTTTATGTGTTTTGGCAAAGGCAAAAAGTTTAGGTACATCCAGAGCATCCTTAATGATGTCTTTCATATTCAGGTTCTTGACTAGTTTGGTGTTGGCGATTCGTTTAACCCTTGCTTGCATTTTCTCCACCCAGTTCGTTTCAACTTGCGTGCATTGTGTTTCTGATAAGTATTTTTCTAATTCTTTCTCGTATGTTTCTCTCTTCATTAGCACCATAACTCTGGCTTTATCAGCTCTGGTTACCACAATATCATTAGATTTTATCCATTTGGAAGCTTGACTTAATTTATGTTTGAGCTGTGAAATGTCTTTTGATTCTCTAGCTCTACTTATTCTTAAAGAAGATAGCCATCTGTAGTACTCTTTGTTTTTGAGAAAGGCCTCTTATAAGGTTTTCAAGATCTGGGATACTAGAGTTAATAGTTTCTTTTTGGGATGGAGGTGGTACATAAGCCAGACCAAATTTTAGTATCTGGCTAACAAAGTCCGGAATTTGTATATTATCCCACACTACAAACGGAGCTTCCATCTTAGTGGATCTTTTAGATACTTGAAATTTCAATATCTTTCATTTTTAGATTAAAACAAACCTTTAGGTTGTATTTTAGTCTGTTATGAAAGTTAACCTGCTTCGCATTTTCAATACGTAAAATATTAGGATCCTGTTGAAATAAGTTGTTCTCCACTGCAATAATTCTGGTTATCATCGAATATACCTTCTTTCTAGTATCTCTGATAGCTTTTGTTAGGCACATCCGTCTTACCTTATTAATTAAAGGTAATTTGCTACTAGAAGTTCAAATAAGGAAGGTAATCAGAGAACGTTCTTATTTAAAAACATTCTATTTAAGAATCCAGTGCAATAAATTTGGCCTGAAGAAGAGCCCAGGAGGGGCATCGAAAGCGTTTGCCAATCTTTGTTTGGAGTTTTCACACCGGATATAGGTTAAGGACGACACATATTTTGTTTCATCTGTTCATGGATAAATCATTTCTTATTGAATGAAATGGAAGAAAGTTTGATGAAATACAAATATATATTATGTAAATTGAAGTTCTAATTCTATATATATTATACAGAATAGTAAATATATACTGTATATATAATCTTTGGTTTATCATTAGTTGAATGTTGAAAGTAGACAAATTATAATTTGTCTACTTTCAACATTCAACTCATAAATTCTTATTTTTGGCTTCCTTAATTAACAAGCAATTTGTTTATTTTTAATAATTTCAAATGAATTCTGCAGTTACGAAATTAACTCTTGAATTATAAGAAAATTTAGTATTAGATCAATTTAAGATCAAGGTTCATATACTAGAATGCTATTAACATTGGTGGCTTGTGGCATCTAATAGGGAGGTGTTGCAACGTGCATATCACATAACACTAACATAATCATTTTTATTTTGACATTTTGGTCAGCATTGCTTTTTATCAATTTTAACTTACAATTAATGATTTTATCAAAACCAGCATCAATCAAAACTTTATATAAAAATAAAAATGATTCTATTTATTTGTTGAAACTGTGTCTTCTTCTTCTTGTTTCTTCTAATTCTATGTCACGACTTGGTGCATTTATCGACACTTTAATGCAAATAATTTCATCATTCACTTTTAATTCATACAGATACGCGTTTTGGGCTTTCGCCCCTCTTCAGTCTGTTACATCGATAGGTTGTGACTTGTGTATACAGTATCAGTCAGGCACTTTCTATACTTCCCACTCCCCTCCCCTCCCCTCTTCTCCAGACTTTACGGCCTCACCTGCATGCCTCGTAACCTGTAACGTGTCACTTCCCCGAGTGCTGCACACAGCCTCGCCTGCAACTTGTATAAACATTCAATTTTAATAATTGTAGCCAGTTTTTATGAATGTCAATGCTTAGGTTCTTGTTAATATTATTTTTGTCTGTAGTAATTTCGTAGCTTTCCTTGAATTTTCTTTTGTACCAATTTTTTTCTTTGTGTACTATTATTGCATCATTCTTGTCTATTTTGCAGTTGTGGGTCATGCAATGTTCATAAAACACAGAGTTGATTCTATTATACTTCAGAGTTGATACGATGTGTTCTTTTAATCTTGTTTCTAATTTCCATTTTGTTTCTCCAATGTATACTTTTGGCGGTTTGCATGTGCAAGGTATTTTATAGACGACTTCGGTAGTGTTGTATTTGTCTGGTTGTTTATTTATGTCAGGTTCAGCCTTCCGGATTCTTTTTTGCAAGTTGTTATAGGTTGGGGCTAGCTTTATATTTATTTTATCAAAACTTTTGTTTACCTGTTCAAAGAAGCCACGAATGTAGGGGAAGATTATGTATCTTACTATGTTTTTATCTCTGTTTTGTTTATTTTCCAGCCTTTTGTTCATTTTTCTTTCCCAGTTATTTAGTATTCATTTTGGGTAGCCGTTTAATAGGAATTTAGTTCACAGTTCGTTGAGGTGTTTTTTCTTCTTCTGTAGTGAGCTTGTTCTGTTCTCGATCTTTTTATACTCCGTGATGAATATGTTTTCTTTTATGTATTGCGGAATGTTTGAATTGTAGTTTAACACATTCCTGATCTCGCATGATTTTTTGTATGGCTCGAATTCAATCTTGTTTGCTTTCCTGATTATTTTAATGTCGAGGTAATTTATTTCCGTGTTTGCCTCATTTTCTACCTTGAATTTGATGTTATCGTTTAATTTGTTTATTTTTTCTTCTATTTCTTCTAATTTTGTTATTTCTTGGTCATATAGTATAATTATGTCATCCACATATTGTTTATAGAACGTTATGCCTGTAAACTTTTTGATTGCTTGATCTATATCTACCATAACAAGTTCTGCTAGCTTCAGGCCTATAACTAATCCCATGCTTATGCCTGTCTGTTGCGTGTAGAACTTATTGTTGACTTCGAAATAATTGCTCCTGTATGCAAATTCTATTAGATCAATTACTTCTTTTTTAGTTTACTTTCTGTTAGATTCCAGGTTATCGAAGGGTACATGTTTATTATATCTAGGCTTGCAAGTCTGTAATTCTTGCTCATTTTTATATTTTCCCTGTCATTCATAAAAACTGGCTATAATTATTAAAATAGAATGTTTATACAGTTGCAGGCAAGGCTGTGTGCAGCACTCGGGGAAATAACACGTTACAGGTTACGAGGCATGCGGGAGAGACCGTCAAGTCAGGAGAAGAGGGGAGGGGAGGGGAGTGGGAAGTACAGAAAGTGCCTGACTGATACTGTATACACAAGTCACAACCTATCGATGTAACAGACTGAAGAGGGGTGAAAGCCCAAAACACGTATCTGTATGAATTAAAAGTGGATGATGAAATTATTTGCCAAGTGTCGATAAATGCACCAAGTCATGATATAAAATTATAAGGAAAAAAAAAAAAATGATTCTATTAGTGTTGAGTGCTGCATGCCCTATTGTGACAGCACCCCCACATTAGATGCCATGAGCAATCACTAGTTATTAACAAAACAATCACTGTTCAATTTATAAATGACAATATACTATTTATAAATTTTTCTAAATTTTAAACTTTCTATGGGAAGACAGTCTCACTAGCAAAGAAATTAAGTGTTCTGGTATCATGTGATTAACAACAATGAAATTGCTGAAGTTGTTGATTAGCTTCCATTCAAAACAAAACACTTTGTTTAGATTTTTGTTTCTTCAGATGGGTCTTATGATGTAAACAAAATCTATAAAGCTAAAGTTACTGGGGTTAATATTAATATTTGACATAAATTTAAACTAGATGTTATAAAATGTTAATTTCTACATTAGCAAATGTTTATAACATAATTGCTACATTAAAATTCATAGTTAGCCAGTTATTTATTATTTATATAATAAATAAATAAAACTCCTAAGCTTTTTCTACAGCTTTAAATTTACAAATAATTAATATTAAAAGTTATATTTAAGTAGAGCTTTAATAAACTTACACAATTATACCGTCTGCCACTTTTTCCATAATATCCATAAGAATATCTAATAAATATTAAGGAAATACTGAAAACTTTAAAATAATAAATAAATAAACTGTATTTTTAGGTCATTTAATTTCAAATCCAATCAAAGCAAAAATTTTTGGTTTTCTAAAATTTCGACATTTTGTAAATGCAAGCTTTAAACAATATGTTCTTGTAATGGATGTAACATATTAGAATAATATGCTGCTAAATACAGTGGAACTCTATATTTGTAATATTTGATATTCGTCACATTTTGATGACTTTTTTATTTTTCTATATTCATCAGTATTTTCTGTATTCATCGTCATTCCAACACTGGAAGTGGCACTACAATCGCACATCCACGCCAATCAGCTAGCTGTAGTTAATCAGTCTGCTTTGTGTGGTCATCCCGTGTGTATTGTTGAGTTATTGAAAAATCATCAATGTGAGAAAGCAAGTTCCAATCACTCCAAAATGACCCCCAAATGTTGCTATAGTCAACCAAAATACAAATACATTCAATAATAATGTAATTGCCTACTTCAGAAAAGTTTTAAAAAGCAGAAAAAAAACACAACACTGGACAAGTTTTTTATTAAATCAAGTGCTACTGAATCATTGGCAAAACAGACCCCATGATCATAACTGGAATTACCTAATGTTTTAATTGATATGTCTTCTAAACAATAATACTATATTAATAATACTGTTCTTTCCCTTCTATCACTATACTGTATTTATTTAGTACAATAAAGATAAAGTTTTACAAACAACATAATTTTTATTCTTGTACCTATTTTTCAGGATGGGAACGGATTACAGTAGAGCCTCGATTATCCGACTCAATTGGGGACTGGGGTTGGTCGGATAATTGAAAGGGCGGATAACCGAAAAGTATGAAAAAATCCATTATTAGTGTAGTATATCATTATATCCCATGTAATTAGTATATTAGTATTTTAGTATATCGATATTAACCTACTTCGCGTTGAATTTTCATCGATGTTAAGCCTAACAAAATTTTTTTAAAAATAATAATCGTCGCTATTGTATCGTTAAAAATTAGAAAATTAAGCCTCATTTAAATACTGGCTCCCTTTCATGGTCGAATGAGTGTTGCCAGCTAAAACACGTAAAAATAATATTAAAGTAGCCAAGACATAGCCAATGTAGCGCCACATCACTAGCGGACATTTGAAATTTGCCGACTAGGACGGTCGGTTAACCGAGGTGACGGTTAATTGGGGGTCGGATAATCGAGGCTCTACTGTAATTGAATATCAGTTATTTATTATGAGAAAAATTGTTTCTATATTCATCATATTCCATATTCGTTAGGCCCTTAGGAACAGATTAATGACGAATATAGAGGTTCCACTGTATATTAAATAATAATAATTTGTTATGTTTATATGTTTTAGCACATCTATTCTCAATGTTTTTTGGCCATGTTTCCCATTTGAGCTTTTTTCCACTTTCAAGCTCCCACCTAAATTTTTGTTACAATATTGTTATGATTTCCATAAACATATCAAACCAATATATACCCGTAAAATACATCTCTTTCATCAATATAATAGAATGTACACACATTTTCCAATTTCTTGATGGTTTACAGATAAAGTTGAAAAAATAAACTATGACCAAATCTTCTACAACTATGTTTAGACATGCCCTGTATTTTCAGCAAGGATGCACTTCTAGGAAATCAAATACTATGATGTTCCACTTATAGTTAAATCCCTCCGATATAACCAACCTTCATAAAGACTACTTTTTCTTGGAACCATTGGTGGTTTTACTGTAATCTCTTTGTGCAACCATACACTTTTGCCAGCACTAGTAAAAATCCTCAAAATATTTTTGAAAACTATTCTTTACCATCTCTTTCAGCGTGATCCTTGAAGTCATCTCTTGATCTCTTCAGCAGTCCTAAAATGTTTCCTTTCATGTGATATTTCATTCTTGGTAAGAGGTAGAAATCACAGAATCTGCTAAGACAGAGGAGTAGGAAGGTAAGGCAATATAATTGTCTTACCTGCCATGCTTTGCAAGTTGTTCCCTCACAAGAATCAATTGATTTGTAGGAGTATTGTGTTGCAATACCCAGTGTTTTACCATACATCTTTCCAATTTCTTTTGACAGATGGCATTGTGCAGATGGACAAGTATCTTCTTGTGCTTTTGCTTGGTGACAGCCAAACTGTTCAAATTAATTCAAAATGCATGATTCCTTTCAAATCAAAGACTCTCCAGCATGACTTTGCCCTTTGAATGATCATGTCAAAACATTTTTGTTTTTTGGTAGATTTTGATTTCCATAGTAATGACTGTTGTTTTACATACAGTATTTTCTTTATGACAAACTATCATGAGCCACCATTCGGGATCAGTTTCTTCAGGAAATCTGAATCTTGATCTGCTTTGTTGATCAGTTTCCACTGGTAATCATGCACTCCTCTTATTGATCTTCAGTGAGTTTCCTTGAGATGATGTTTTGGCAGATACAATACATCTGCAGTTTTTCTGTAAGAATGGCAAGCTACATGGTAACTCCCCACAGAAATTCGTACCTCCTCTGCAATCATAGCAACTTTCTCTCAATAATTATGTTAAACAACTTGCACTTCACCCAATTTTCCTTGTTTCTTGATGTGGAAGAGCATCCACTTGTGGATTGGTGTTCACAGAGTTTTGGTCATTTTTGAACCTCATTCATGCTTGAGTGGTATTTGTAAACACAATGTTTGGTCTCCATACACTGATTGAAACATCTGCAGCATTTCCTTGACTGATTTCCCCAATTACCAGCGAAATTTTAAGTTAGCTCACTGCTCAAAATGATCCATCTCTGCAATCTGATTTGGCTGAAAGAGATAGATTCAATTGTTTGACTGTTGCACTATCTATAAGTCACTGACTGCAAAGCTATTCTAGTTGCACATAGCTTAAAGATTGCATCACATACATTGAACTAACATCATTATTAATTAATGCCAAAATCACATTGGTCTGAAAACTTTTTGATCCTAGTGGTATATTTTCATTTGTACAGTTTGTACAGTACAAGATTAATTTAGAAAAATTAAGAATAATATTGAACATTGGGTACATAAAAAGCAAACAAAAACAACAAAAAAATGTGATAATACTGTAATATTTTACAGTAAAAATAAGAACGGATGAAAGGAGAATCATGCAAGGCTGCAGGCTTAGTATCAATACCAAAGCAATAGATGAAGTGTCAGTATCAGAGGAGGCATATCTAGAGAAACAAATTGAGAAATACAGTCCCATCACCATTACTGAAATTCCAAACAGAGGTTGAACTGCTCTTGTATTTGATACTCTAATTAGCTCATATGATACCATAATGCTGAGACAAATAATTCTCATTTCACTTATTCTCAATCTTCTAGTATTTCAATGTAGCTCAAAGAGTAAAAACAAATACCATTAATTAACACTATGTCATTTCTTTATGAGTTAAGATTCGTTTGGAATGTATTTTAGGTTACACAAACAGTCTAAAGATCTATTTACTTTTTTTACAAATTTCTTGTCAGTAAATTTTGGTCCACCTCGAAACATTCTATACAAATTAGCTAGCTTGCAAAAATTTCACATAATTTTAAAAGCAGTTTTAATGTGTGTCTTGTTTATTTTAAATTAAATTTCAAAAGTTTCTAATTATTGACAAAATTTTATGGATAATTATACCTCACCTTACATCAGTAATTGGTTCCAGGAGAACGACTTAAGTCAAAAAACGACGTAAGTCGAATTTACTTGTCTCCGAATCTACTTGTCACTAGGCTAAACCATAAATTACCATTTCCCAGTTCTGTATTTTATTTATTAATGCATTTTCAATAATATATGGTTAATAAGGATGTATTTTAAGCTTACAAACAAATAAGTTTTAGTTTTTAATATAGTACAGAAAAAAGGAATCTAAATTTACGAATGCATGTACTGTAAATACAGTACATACTTGTAAATGTACAGTATATATTTTAATTAATATGATTTTATGTGCTTTAAACACTTTTCTAATGATATTACGACTTCAATATTTGTGGCGGACAGACGTAAAGTCGAATAAAATGACTTAATCTGATTTTTATTTTTCCATATATTTTTTTTGACAAACGACGTATAATCGGGAACGACGTAACTCGAAACGACGTAAGTCGAGGTATACCTGTATTATTAATAATAGCATGAGTATTATAGATGCTCTAAAACATTCACAGAAGCTGGAAACAAGATAACTAATAATTACTTACCACTTTAATATTTCTTCCAGTAATTATTTTCTTAAAAATACAAGTGTTTTTGACCTCTTTATCAGCTCTCCAAAATAACTGCTGAAGTGTTAAAACACCAAGTAATTAATAGATGCTCTATTCTACTTAAAAGTAATCTCATGATCAATGGTTATTTAACTTATTAAATTAAATAATCCTAATTAGAAAAGGATACGCAAGTATCTCCCTTGCTGAGTTGAAGATAATGACCAGGCTTGTTCAAACAGAAATCCAACACTTGCACATTTCAAATACAATGTCCTAGAATTTGGTGGGTCAAGCTACAAAATAAACAATTACTAAGTATTTTACTTACAAAAATTCTAGAAAGATTTTCAATTATATTTTTATAATAAAGATATTAAATTATATAAACATTAAATAATAGATTTTTGATGATAAATCATTATAAAACAAAATTCATTTTAACTAACTAATATAAAATATTATATTTTATTATATCAATATTAGCAGTGGCAGAACTATAATGGTGCAAAGTTGTTCAGGCAAACTAACTAGCATCCAGAGCCAACAAGAATCTAAATATGTCAAAGAAAAAGCCAAGAACCCTTCATCAAAACAATTGTTTTGATCCTCAGTTGATGATTCTTTTCCTCAATGAAAAGCTGAAGGCATTTTTAGGTGATGCAAGTCCATCCTTTGTTAAAGAGGTGAGGTTGAGAGGGAAAGGGGCCCACATTAAAATTTTAAACCATGACACAAAATTAAATTGTTCTGCCTCTGTATTTTAAAATTTAAAAATTTGAAGAAATGCACATATAAAATTTAAATATTTGTTGCACATGAAGTTCTACTTAATAAAATAAAAGTAATTATTTTTGACTTAGAAGCAAATTTTTTAATTTTTTTTAATCAAATTTACACTTGTAATAAATAACATTAATGGTCAGTTGGATGGTCAAGTCTAACTGCTAATATCCAACTGACCATACTAATGTGAGGGGCCAGCCGGGATATGGAGTAAAGACTCTTATACCACTTATTTGGCAGCTATTCTTTTGAATAGTCCTCAGTTTGTCCAAAAGAATTACTTTTCTATTTAAAGAAAACAAGGGTGGAGGGCTTTAACTAATATGTTAAAAAGAAGGATCTAGGGGGTAAATACTAGATCTAGTCAGGATCCTTGACACCAGTTAATCAATTTTATAATTCACAGATTAACACGCGTATTGAATCGTTAAGGAGATAAGATAGTTTTGATTCAGACACCTTAGAGACATTTCTTTAACAATAAAATATCCAAAATTTAATAAACAAGAAATAAATTACAAAATTGAATTCTCAAACTATAATTATGGAATGTTGCAAAGAGAGAGATTACAACTTCAATTAAACCATACTACCTCAAAATATGTTTTTCTTCTTCTGTATTTTAGGTTCCGGGCAAATGTTCTTGTCTTTGGTTAGTTCTTTGACGGCACATAAATAAGCATTTTCTTCTATTTAAAAACTTATTAACAAACTTTGTATGAACTATGGGATTCGAATATGGGCGTTGGCCGTAGGGATACAATATGGAATACGTCTGTCTTCCTTTGGATCTTCTGGCGTACTCCCCGAATAATACTAAAGAATCCCTGTTTTTGATGATTTTCTCCAATGAGAGAATTGTATTATTCCCACATGTTTAGGAAGAGTGGGGTTTACAGAAGAGTAACTGGACTGTATGTGACTCAAATTTATGAAGATAAGGAAAAGCAAAAAGGATGCCGAACTTCCGTTGAGAAGGAAGTGAATTTTACCAGTTTCCTTCATTTTTAACATTAAAACTTTTCATTTAAAATCAAAAATACTACTTCTAAAAATTTATGTATTTGACATCGATTTCCAATTAATTAATTGGGGGTGTGTCCAGAATCTCACACTAACACACACAAAAAAAGGCATCAACCTACTGTTCTGGGAAACCCAGGATTTCATTTGGGCAGAAAAAAAAGGTCAACATATACCTTTGAGTATGATCTTGAAAGATCACACCCAATGGGTATATTGGACTTTTTCTACCATCCAGTCTCTCTGCTGTTGTATAATTGGCCAAACTCATAATGAGGTTGGAAAAAAGACTCTCTTAGTGCCCACAGGGCAGGAGGAGTTAAAAAGAAAAATTTATGTATTTATAAGAAATGAAATTCATCAGAAAATATATATTAATTATCCACATGCAATACAGTAGAACCTCGAAAACTCGTCCCTCGATAACTTAGCACTCCGGATAACTGGTCCACACCTTGGCAGGGCGAAAAAATCCTTAGTTAATTAATTTTCATTATAGACAGCTTTATAAAAGTATAAAAGCTCTCATAAAGTATTTTTCTGAGGTCTGTCTTATCAGGTAAATTACTGTACACAGTGTATTCATTAATTTTCATTTTCATGTAGTGGCTCTATGCCTTCATAAAGGACGTACTTTTCCTTTGTTTAAGGGTATTTGTTGGGCAGTTTATTTGTTATA